GAAGTTTGCAGAAAATGAAGCTTAGATGAGTGAGAATCTTGCAGATTAGGACGGGTTTGGCAAATAAAAAATTGAATCTCTCATTTGTTTTTTCTATATATATGTGTAAGTGTTTTCTTATTTGTTTCTTTCATTTTGTCAAATGCAATAATTTGTTTCAGGTGAAAGGTGTTTGACGAGTTGGATTGCATATTTGGTTGAATTTAATTTTTTCTTTTTATTTGACAAACAGGCTGTTTCTACTTGGTTTGGATAAATGTGCGAAAGGAGACTGGCGAAGTATATCGAGGAACTTTGTGGTGACAAGGACGCCTACACAGGTTGCAAGCCATGCCCAGAAGTACTTTCTCTGGTTGAACTCGACAAACAAAGACAGAAGGCGATCAAGCATTCATGGTATCACCAACATTGGCAAGGGCGAGATTCTAGCACCTCAAGGATCAATTACTGGTCAAACCAATGGGTCTGTTGCAGGAGGCTCATTTGGTTTAAAATATTTAAAGATAATTTGTTAAAATTACTTTTATTATATTTTAAAGTAATCGAATATACTCACTAAGATAAACATCAAATATCCCTTAGAATATAGATGAGATATTCCTAAAATTTAAGCCACATCAACAAATCTTCCCCTTGACTTGAATCTTCTCTATCATTAAAGCAACTGACTGTTTTATCGCACCGTCTTGCCAACAAAGCTCCATAGGGGCGCTGTTGAGCATCACATACTCCAAACAAGTCTAGATTACGGCTAAACTTATTACTTGATCCTCGAAAAAAGTGACATATGTCATTAAGTTCTTCACACACAACATCAATCATCTTATTTGCATCTGAACTCCCTAGTTCCTGCAAATTAATTGTCTTTATAACTGACAAGTCCTATGCAATTAGATTCTCATACTACTATGGTGGTCTAATATGTCTTTTCTCCCTATTTGTATTAATACTATTAGTTGTTGATTATGTGCACTATCACTACTAAAAACTTGCACTTCATTTCCTAGACCATTGGACTGAACTTCTAACTATACTTATTCTCTGACACCATGGTCTAATTCTGCTATTCTCTTCCCCTTTTGACTACCTAGTGAAGCAAATTCAGTGAATGTCACATCTTTGTTGATAATTAATTTTGGAGACTTGGGATCATTACACCATAACCTGTAACCTTTCACTCTAGATGCATACCTTCGAAATATGCATTTCTTTATCCTCGACTCAAGCTTACCATCCTTAACATGAACATAATTAGGATAACCAAATACTATCAACTGAGAGTAATCAACAAATAACCCAGACATAACTCAAAAGGAGTTTTACCCTCAATAGCTGTGGATGGAGATCTATTAACTAAGAAACTAGCAGTGTTCATAGCCTCAGCCCAAAATTTATGTCTCAAACCTAAATGAGACAACATTCTCTGTGCTCTATCACAAAGCATCCTATTTATGCGTTTTACTATGCCATTTGCCTTATTCGACTCTCTCATAGCCTCAGGATATCTTTCTTCAATTGTCCCTATAAATCTTGTAAAATTAAGGATGATCTCATTCAAAATTTTAGACTGAAACTCTTTCCACTATCAAAATTTTCTATTTTATACTTTGTGAATGTCATCTCGAATCTTTAAACTATGCACTAAAAGGAAACAAAGAGAAATAACAATGTCATAAAACAAAAAGCTACTTATCGAGAAATACGATTGTGTAGAAAACCACTGCGCTTAACCTCCAGAGCACTGTATGCACCATCAATAAGTGGTTAGTTATTATAGGAAGTTATCACTTAAGTCAGATAAACAGTTAGTTACAACAATTTGACAGCAAGTTGAAACAAAAGTACGTAAAAGAAAAACAACTATTTCTCTCTCTCTGAAGTTCTTATGTGATTCTTGTAAAGAAGAATGAATTTTTTTATTGATCTTTTCTTTAAAAAATTTGAGTGTTTACAAAAGGTATTTATGCCGTGAACATTTTCATACAATTCATTATTTGATAATGTAATTGTATGTGTTGTTATGCACATTGATCTTAAAAAATTATGTTTGTTTATGGATTATATATAAATTCTATAGATTCTTAACATTGGTATAAAAACCAAGTTAATTGCATGTTTGATTTTGTTCCAATTTGTATTTTGTTAAATTTTTGTGTAAAATTTATTTTTTATTTTGGTGGTAAAATAATTTGTATTTTATTGCTCAAATAGGTACAATATTGGTCTTAAATAAAAATAGAAACTAAGAGCTTTAATTTGGTATATTATTTATAACTTTTGGACAAGAATGATAGAGTTATCCATTTATTTAGTTGATTTTGTTTAGAGAAAAAGATTTTTCTTTTGTCATGCATATTTTTCTTTTACCGAGAGCACAAAGGTTGAAGACGAGAATGTTTTGTCTTTTTCTAATAAAAAAATTGCTGGAAAAAATTTTGCTTAACCAAGGATTTGATCCCTAGTTGACTTACACTATATGCTTACCATTTTATCCATTAATATTTTTTATAAGATAATAAATGAAAAATTCATGTTTTATTCTTTGGACAATATAATAAAAAAAATTGATTTTACGCGTTCAAGGATTTGAAACTAAGACTTAAAAATCTTTTACCAATCAGTACAATATGATAATTTGATATGTGACTATTATACAATTTAACAGGTCTTATTATATAAATTAATTATTAGTTAATTAATTTATCATAAATGAATAAATTAATTATTAGTTGATTAATTCATTATAATAGTCATTTGGAATGCATTAATTATTACTTAATTAATTTTGTCATATTTGAAAAAATTATTAGTTGATTAATTTATTATAATAGCTACTTTATATGAATTAGTTACCATATAAAGTTAGCTTATTAATACGTTTTTTATTTTCTTTATATGTTACAGAAAATCAATGGTGAAAATGAAAAGAACTTATGTGGGTCTTAGAACTTTTCAATAAAGAGAAAGAGATAATCGTATGATACAAGACTTAAAAAATACTTATATGAAAGATATTGGAAAACAAACTAAAGTTAAACTTTTAGTGAACCATATTGTTAAGTGATAGTGCATAAAACCATCATCTTCATTGTCAATTTTTAAGTGCTTAATTAGAATAATTGCTATCCGACTTAAGTTATTCCATTCGTTTGGATGTAGGACATAAGATGGGAGCAAAATCAAGGAAAGTAGCATAAAAAGGGTAGGATTTGTGAAGAAATTGTCAGACTAGGAATAAGCCTTGCCCAATGGTTAGGCCTAACAAGCAGCAGTAGACCCTAGTTCTCGTGTACTCAAGCCTC